CTAAGCAGAGGCACATGATCAAAAAATGAGAATGGAATTTTCATCAAATTAAGGTTGTTTCCCAACAATAATCTTCCAAGTTTGGGAAGATTCAAACATTCCGAAAGATGTGCAATCTGAGTGCCAGAAATATCGCACTCCTCAAGGTTATGGAGTTTCCAAATTTCTTGTGGGAGCTTCTCCAATCGCTCACACCCTGCCAACCTCAATGTTTCAAGATTCCCAAGTCTAGCAATCCGTGACGGCAATTCCAGCAATTGCGAACAATCTTCTAAAGACAAAGTTTCAAGCTTTAGGAGATCAAACATTGCTTCTGGTAGTGTTTCCAGCATACAACCTTCCACATTCAATTTTTAGCTTGAGCCTGGGTAATTACAGCATATAAATTTCGCATGTGAGTATTGGATAAGTTTAAAACTTGGAGGTTTAAAATTGCTGGTTCCAATGCTCCTTCACTCAAGTTCTTAAGAATTTCCTCCCCCAACGTGTGCAAGATAATCTTAATATCCTCAGGCAATAGGATATGCCGACCTCGGGCGTCTTCCAATTGCAGTAAGACAGAACATTCCATGAAAAGACTCTTTAAGGAAGATACCATCAACAACGAAAACAACGAAAACATTTTCTCATGGCATAGACCTTTATAATATATCCCTTCAAACTTACATTCTCTCTACTTGTAGAACTGTCATGCTGCTGAGCTGACTTAGACATCATCTTTGGTGCGATTGGTCGCTTTCAAAATGCAAAGAATAAAGCCTTACAAAAGATATCATTTGTTATGATATTTAAATAATGATCAGCAACAGTAATCTAACTTCTTATTCGATTGATGCCAGCCTAATTTTAGAAAAGATTTCTATGCGAGAAGAGAGCCTCCTAATTAAGAAAAAATTACTAGAAATTCATAGAGCATTAATTTATAACTCAAAGCCACTAAAACTTTATCCTAGGACCAGTCTAAGATTATTCTAAAACAACCTTAGAGTTACTCTAGATGACCCAAAATAATTTATTATTAAATTCTCGCAATTAAGATTTTGTAATTATTATTAAATTCATCAGAAGGTTACTCTCTAAAACTATTCTAGGAGTTGAAAGCCATCTCAAGAAATCTAAAATCATCTTTCAAATCCATATGCCTTTATAACTTAATTAGTTCACCATAATAGGAATAAATTACATATAAACTGAATCTATGATACTATCTCTGGTTCTTAATATAAGAGTTAGTTAACTAATTTGAGTAGATTAAGAAAAACTAGTTAAATTAGTTATTTGTAATAAATATATGTTGTCTTTCTTAAAATATCCTTACTAATCAAGTGTATCAGCTAAAACTACCATTATTACAAGGACTACTTTAAAAAAATTAGATAAATATGAGAGACAAAGTAGATTGGGATCTTATATTTAGGATGAAAATAAAAGTTAAACAAGCTTTTATATTAAGGACCGGAAGTAGTGTATGTGTATATGAAAAGAAAGACGCGGAAAGTTAACGTCAAAGACTCCATAACATTATAATGGATGAGGAAGTTTTTACAACAGTAATATATGTACGTGTGCATATTAGCGCGCATGTGTCAAAAGAGAGGAACCTTGATATGTATATGTGAATGAATTGACATATAGTGCCTCCTTCCACTAAAGATCACACACACACACACACACACACACACACACACCGAATTAAACACTAACACACATATATAAACCAATATGAACATTCGAAATTCACTCATAGTGAAGGTGAGAAAGGTGCCAAGAGGAATGCCATTAGCTTTCAATAATAAAAAGAACAAATATGTGAAGGAGGCACGCTATTATACCTGAATAGAATACTTGCCGTATGTGATGCTAAGAAGGGAAGAGGGGTATGAAAGGAGAGGGAAAATAAAGAAGTAAAAGACGAAAGAGAATCTTGCGAAGTGTACTTGTTGGGAGAGATGAAAACTCCTTGTATTTTGATCTTTCAAAGCGATACTCTTGATCCAATTAAAAAAAAAAAAGATGAAAGAGAACTTGGGGTGTTTTACTAATATAATCTGTTTAGGATTTATAAAATTTAAATTAAATTTTCTCATGTTATCTATGTTATTATTAAGACAATCCTGTTAGATATATAAATCTTCTTTTAAGATAACTAAAAGAAATTTGAGATATATTTTAAGATTTAATTAGATTTTTCTGATTATTTTCTTGATATTTTACTGTCTTTTTATTTATTTTTAAATATACATTCACGTTGTGAGTGTGATTTTTTGCTATCTTTTATCACAAATATACACACAATATTATGATTATTTTCTTAAGGGGCACTATTTTCGCTTTAAGTCGCTAATAAAAAATTCGGATGTTGCATGGTCATCTCATAATAATTGAATTTTAAAGCTTAATAAAATGATGTTATTAACAAGAATTAGTTGCAAGACAAATCATAAATTAAAATTTGATTAAAACAAGGACATTAATTAGGATATAAACTCAAGCTTCTAAATTTTTTGGATAATTTTATTTTTCCTTAAGCTGGAAGTTTTTGACGGGGAAATGAAGATATTTCGAGAGATTTTTTTCCTGAAAAGGAAAAAAAAAAAAAAGAGAAGCAGAATAGTCCTATATTATCAAGAAAACAAACTGAATATCCAGAAAACCAAATTCACACTTGTTTATTTTAAGCTAAAGTATACATTTAGCTTTTTAACTTTATATAAGGTTTTAATTTAATTTCTTAATTTTAAACAGTATATATTTAGTCCTTTAATCTTGAAAATTATTGACAAAAAATGGTGACATTGAGATTTTAAATATTGATAAAATATTCTCAAATACTAACATATTATTTATTTTAAAAAATGCTAACATGTTAAGTTTAATTTCTAAAACAATCATGATTGTTACAAAAAAAAATCATCATCTAAGCCTATTGATTTTAGGGTTGAAAAATAAAAAATGTACTTTTTAAAATTAGGGGACTAAATCAAAAATATTATCTAAAGTTAAAGAAACAAATACACACTGTAGTCTTTATTTTGTGTTTTTAGAAGGGAAAACACATGATGCCTTTTCTCCTTTCTTTCTGTTTTTTGGGCCAAAAACAATTAAATTTTCTATTGTTAGATCAATTCTTCAGATTTTACTGGTGATTTGTAAGGTAAAAAGTTTCTTGAAGTTTTGAAAAATTCACTTGTAAATTTTGAAAAATGCTTGAGAAAGATATATATATATATATATATATATATATAGAGAGAGAGAGAGAGAGAGGATGAATTATGAAGCCTATATTACAAGTTTGTGGAATATATGCAAAAAACAATTCAAAGCATTACTCAACAGTTCACAAATGGAGATTCTAATTCCCAACTGGAGTTTGTCTCAGTTAGGTAATACAAATACAAATTACATACCCAAATCATACCAGCCTACACTCAAGTTTGTATCAGTTTTCAGGGAGTTTCTGCATTTGTTTGAACTAAGAATTTCAAGTTTTCTCGAGAAACAAATTGGCATTAGTTAAAATCTTGTTTGGTATGTTTGAAATAAGATAGAGCTATTTTGTATTACTATGTTTGCCACAATAGAAATACAATAAAAATGCTAAAATTATCATAGCAATTTACCAAATTATCCTTAATATTTGATACTCTTTTGATCCTTAACATAGAATTTAATTTAAGAATTGATGTTAATTTTATATGTAAGATGTATTTTATATATTTATTAATTTTTTTCAAATTAATTCTATTAATATTCCCTCTACAATAGTCAAGTAAGAGAGGCAGGGAAGAAATTAAGAAAAATGTTTAGAGTGTTTTAGAAAGACATATCATATTAACTAATTTAACTAACATTCTTAATCTAGTCAAATTAGTTAATTGAGTCTTACATTAAAGATCAAAGGAATATGATAGAATCATTTGTTTAAGGGAACGATTTGGGCCAACTTGGATGGAAAAAGGAAGGGGAGAAGGATTAATCTAATTCCTTCATATCAAACTTAGTATTGCCTCATTTCATCACGTTTTCCCTTTCCCTTATCCAAATTAACTCAACAAGTATAACATTATGATTCACATGAGAAGGCCCCCCCCCCAAAAAAACTACTGTTTAAAAACATATCCTCTCTACATTCATTACTCACTTTACATTCTAAAAAATGTTACTTCCTCCAATCCTAAATATAAAACCTATTTTGTAATGTAAATTACACTACAAAATGAGTCTTATATTTAGAACCGGAGGAGTAAAATGTAACCACATTTTTATATCTTTTGCAATGAGGACACTTAGAAGTTAGAGTAACAGGGAACCCATGGGGGGGCAAGTAGGGGAGATCAACGTTGAAGGTTATGAGGGTATTTTGGTACTTTCACATTATAGTTAAGATCACTGTCCTTATTGATAATTATGCAAATTTAAGGTCCTTAATAACAAATACTTTTTCGTTTAACTCTTCTGAGCCATTTTCCCTAAAGCATAAAAAACTTGTTGGGGAAGGAAATTAAAAGAAAAGCCTTAATTAGAAGAAGCTTTTACAATGTCACATGCACTTTCATTTAAAAAAAGTGTATTTTAAAAAATCTTGAACTATATAACATAACACATTCAGGTTCTACTTTCAATTCCAAATGTGCAGCCTCAGTCTTATGTTTAGCAACACATGTAAAAAGTGATTTATGAGCAGAATCCTGCTAAATTTCCATATCATAAGTGATCTTAACTTTTGCTCACTTCGTTTTCCCTTCTCTTCACTTTTTGAATTGAAATTTCAACTTTTCTTATACCCTTAAATGCTCACAAAAACTTCACGCATCATTCGCCCCTTGTAATTCCACCCTGCACTTTCAAACTCTCCTTTCACTTTCTCTCTTTACTTAAGGCTTATAGGTTAGACTATTCTCTTGACTCTTCTCAATTTCATGTTCTTCTTCTTCATCTTCTTCTTCGCTTGTGTTCTTTGTATCTTCTGGTTCATTATTTTCTTTTAAATCCTGAGAATTATGGAGGATGAAACTTTCTTATCGATCAGTTCAGTTCCTAGTTTTGCTCAAGGCCTTAAGATTTTGCTGGTTCATAATGACACCTTGTCCATCATCAACTTGTCATCTATGCTTGAGAAATACTCATTCAGAGGTATGGATAGAGATGAATTAGAATCTGCTTTAATTTAATCTTCTTTCATATTGTCCTATGCAAATGAATCAGTTACATAAAGGAGAATAATGATATAATAACAGATGAACGAACCACAAAGGTAAAATAACAACCAACAAAAAAAAAAAAAAGGTTTTGTGTATCGTATACCCAAAGATTAAACCTACCTACTGTTAGAAAAAGAACCATTTATGAACAACAAAATGGCTTTTTAGATGATCAAAGAGCCAAGACATGATACTTTGCTTTAAAGAACACATATACGTATAACTGAAGAGAAGTTTGTACCTAGATTATTCATTGTGAAATTTACCACTTCATTATACTTGCACATATTCCTTATATATTTTTCAGAAAATTAATTTGCCACTCCTTATAATTTTATCTAATTCTTAATCAGATTCCTATAAATTTTTTTTATCGGGCTCTTACTTTTTTCTTAATTATCGACAGTAGTCCCTATGCTCATAATCTATTGATTAAGGCTGATGTAGATATTGATTAAGTGACACATAAATTGTCACAAAATACAAAATGACAAGGAGGTTCTTTTTCAAATGAGTTTTTTTTTTTTTATACCAACATAGAAATAAAAGATATTATTCTCATAATCATCTTCTTGCATCTGCCATATAATTTGTAACGATTTTGATTTTATTTAGATTCATATGGCAAAACTAATCCGTATATGCTAAGCAAGAGTCACATTATAAGATACCGACGTTGTTTCTTTTATAAATTCACAAATTTATGAGTATAGAAACTAATATGTGACAATTGAGGTAACTATGAGAACCAATGAAATTAATATGTAAGCCCTTATTAATTTCTCCTATATTTTTTCTGTTTATTTTCCCCAAGGCTCATAAAAAAAAAAAAGAATGGATAGATACCTCTCCCTGACTGGTTTTCCGTGAGTTTTCTGGGTTTAACCCATTTTCTCTTATGGTTATCTTCGGAGCATGCCAATCACTCCTCCCCTCTGCCGCAAATTTACATAAATTTTTATGGTTCTGATAATTAAAAGATCTATAGTTAGATTTGTTCTGTCCAAAACATAAGCAAAAGAAGTCAAAAATAAATCTGATTAAAAGATGCGCATAGTTAGTTTCATTTATCAACCTTTCATTGATATGTGCTAAGAGTTTTTCTCGTTAAGTTGCAAATTGAAATCATTTATTGTACAATATCCTGAGACCCACCAATTCAATGAAGAAATCAGGATGCTTATATTGAGAATTGAAAGCTACTCTCAAGAATTTATCTTTAAAACAAGCATTAATGTTCAGAAACATTTCTTAAATGCATCTGTGAGCAGCATATAACAGCGAAAGGATTGATTATGCAGTTACTGTTACCGATGAAGCAAAAGCAGCTGTGTCAATGATTTGTGATCCTGAAGAAAGCCAATTCAACCTGGTAATGGCTAAAGATAACATGCCTGACATGGATATTCTTTCATTTCTGCACATCATGCTTGATAAGTACATCCCTGTCATCTGTAAGTTTCACTCTGATTTTTCAACTGAATTAAAAGTCTCACAAGAAGCCGTAAGATACATTAAACGGAATGAAAAAAGTAATTTGCATACGAAAAGTGACAATAAGACGTTGCATATGTCTCTTTATAAGGCTTTAGTCTCATTAGCAATGTTTTTTTGTCATGTCCAGTTATCTGTTCCGGAGAATATGATGATGTAACATGGAAAGCATTGGCTGAAGGCTCATGTTTTTTCCTGGAAGAACCAATCCTTTTCCAGGATCTCAAATATGTGTGGCAGCATGTGTATCACACAAGAGTTAACTTGGCCAAGAAAACTGATAAAGAAAATTGTGTTAACAAGGTATGCTGCAAAAACTGTAAATGGAACTTCAACATTCTGAACTATAAAATGTAGAATATAATGGTTGTCGGAGAAGATTTGGCCAACATTTCTCTTCTGATTCGATGGGCTTTACTAACTATGCCTTGAAACTAGAAGAATTTATGTGACTCGCAAATTTTTCTTGAACAATTCATTTTACATTTTTCAGGTTCATGGAACTCTTGATGATAGAAAATGCCTGGGACAAGAAAAGAGAAAAAGGTTGGAGATGAACTTTGACAGCAATCACCTTACTGCTTTTATGGAACAGGATGAAATTGAGGATACAGAAAGAAAAGAAAACTATGATGAGCATGCCGAGAAAAGGCCTCGTATTGTTTGGACTCCGGAGCTGCATCAGAAGTTCTTGGATGCCATTAATGTTTTGAGTGACAGGAGTAATGTTTCTTTTTCTCCAAATCATCTGTGGATTGCATTTCTTCTCTTTAAATTTCCACAATTAATGACCTCTTAGGATTATTGTGCTTTATTCTTCAATCCTTACTAACATCAGTACTTGGTTTTGTTTTGAATCAAGATAATATTCGCCCAAAAGCAATACTAGAACAGATGAATGTGCCTAACCTCACAGCTCGCCAGATTTCAAGTCATCTTCAGGTTCTAATCTGTCATTTTAACTTTCAAAGGCTATAAAATAGCTTCTCAACATATACTTCTTCCTTAACATATGTTTGGACAAATGATAATGGAAGGGAAAGGAAATGCATTTCCCTCAGTTTAGGACCTATTAATAAGAAGGGTGAATATAAATACTTTTAACTAAATTTGTAAGGACCTCTTGTATGCTTTGAAGAAATGCTTCTTCAATCAGATAAGTTATCATTTAAATATCCATTATTTTCTTTTCTCTATACCCCTTTTCCCACTCAAGCAAATCCTAATGCTTGGACAAATCAATACTGAGATTAAGTTAACCATTTTCATGGCACAACACTTGCTATCTTTTGGTTATTGTTTTCTTGCTGTCACTGCTATCTTTTAAATCTGTACTGTTCTTCTCTTAATCTCCTCCTAAAAGGTTTTCTGACTTTGTTTGGCATATTTGCAGAACTTTTGTCTTTAATAGCAGTAACCTATACTTTTTCTACATTTGGATGCCAAGAACTAGCGCATTGTGATTCTTCAATAGATCTGCAATCATAGAGGAATACTGTGGCCACAAATGGTTGCTGAAAAAAATTTTTATGGAATATAAGATTTGATACATCTTGAGGAGACCCACTATAGAAGAAAACCTAGCCCATTTTATTTTATTTTTGCAAGTGGATAGAGCAAATGGGTTTATTTTATTTTCTTTTTGCAAGTGGATAGAGCCAGTGGATTTATTTTATTTTATTTGCGCAAGTGGATATGACCAAATTAGATCAGGTTTTTTAAGTGATTTTAGGCACTAGTATTTTGGCCAAAAAAAAAAAGCTTTGGCACTAGTATGAAAATCATAGTAAAGAGTGATTCAAACCAAAGATGTAAAATTGAATGTGATGATGAAACAGAAAGGTATCAATATGTCATGACCTGATTTTCTCCATTTTCTTGTCCCTGATGGTGCATTAATGTTTAATGACAATGCTTCTTTAACAGAAATACAGAACTCAAGAATTGATAAGCCAGCAGGCTTGCATTTCTGGATTCACTCCGATGGGAACATTCTCAAATTTTGATGGCAGATTCCAGTCTTCCTTGCCATTTCAGAGCCAAGGTTATCCAGGTAAGTGAAAATGTGAAGGTTCAAGCTTAAGTATATTTGATATTTATTACCATAATGTCAACTCCTTTCTCTTTTAACTTATCTCAAGACACCGTTTACTATGATACATACCCAAAAAAAAAAAAACTAACTTCCATTGTAATACAATTGAAGTATACCTCTAGTCCTTAATATAAGACACATTAACTAATTTGGAGAGATCAAAAAAATTAAATAAATGACTTAATCTTCTAGAATATTTGAGTATCATTAGATTATATATATTAGTTTATAAATAAGATAAATTAGTTTGGAAAAAAATGATAAATATAAATACTTTAAAGTAATTTATTTAACTTTCTTAATCTCTCTAAATAAATCAACTAGGTCTTATATTAAGAACTAAAGGTAGTACTAAAGTCAAAGCGATACTGAGATGAAAATATGCACTGGGCTCACTTGCTCTCTTCTTCCCTACTTCCTTCCTATCTTATCCACTTTTACTGAGTCAAGATTAAGTATTGAAGAGCCCAATTAGGAATAGTTTGTTCCTTTTATTCCTCTTCATCTTTCTTATTTTATAAGTACTTCTCTAGTTCTAAATATAAAACTATTTTATTACACTACAAAATAGTTTTATATTGAAAATCGGAAGAGTATTTGACAAGCTTCTAACTTGAAAAGATTAATAGAAAGGCGAAAAGGGCTAGACAACATTTCCCATCACATTACAGTTAACGTATAACAACTGATAAATTAAATGACTAAATTTTGTTCAGGTTTTCCTATATCAATTGCAGCAGTTGGTGGGAGCCAAAATCAAAGCCAGTGTTCAATGATTTTCACTGAAACTCAAGGATTAGAAATGCCACAAATGGAAGAAGTGTCACTAATTCCAGATGAATTTGCAACAGCATTGAGCAATTATGGAAGCCAAAACCGAGAAGCTGAAGTGAGACAACCTATACCAGATGCTTCAATGGATCAAAATCAACCCATGAGAGCACATGATCCTATGAAAATGCTTGAGGAAGATTATGACGAGCATGAGTATTCTCAAAATGGAGTACTTTCACATCAAATTGATCAATACTGTGAGATGCTAAGGAACACTCTTTAAGAAATAATAGCCCTCATCATCCTCAAGAGCCTGATTTATGAATTCCCAGCAGATCATAAGGTCATTCTCTATCCGTTTACCAGATTCCCACATGCTTGTTTTCATGTATTTCATTTCATCATCTGTACAAAACCCCCCTAACTTTGTCATATGTAAATAATCTTTCTAACTTCTGAAACTTTGCAATTAACTTACGTGGACTTTTACATTTATTTAGATAACTCTAAAGCTGCTAGGTTTGTTTTTATATATCTGCAAAAGTGCAAATGGCTTAAAGTTTAAAAGGTTCATCTGTACATACCTCAAAATTTAAAAGGATTATATGCATAGAAAAATAAAATTTAAGGGTAAAATTGATTTTTTTAGGTTATCTGCATAAACTCGAAAGATTAGGAGTTTTATTATTACGTTGTAAAGGTTAAAGAAATTATTTATACATGTTCAAGTTCAAGAAAGTTTTATACATTTAAATTTATAATTTTTACTATTTGTTATTTTTTCAGGGAACTATGAGATACTAAATTTCTTGCAAACCGTTTGTTTAGGTTTGGTTGTAGTCTGAACCTTCACTGTTGATAGTAGACCACTTCAATTGCTGTATATAGAATCATGCTGTCTTCACAACTGTGCTGTATGAAATCAAAGTGTCAAAAGTTTTAGAGCATGATGAGTAAAGATATTAGCAAATTAGGTCCTCTAGAGTTTTTTTTTTTTAAGACAAAATATATATTCTCATAAACCTTTGTAATAATGTGATGATCCACATTTTTTATTTATTCCATTTATGTATTTTTGTGTTGAAGAAGAAAGAATAAAGTTCTTGCAAGTATTTCATCTTAGCATTTATCCTATAATTTTTAGAATATTCAAATATTAATTTTTTTTTTGCTTTTTGATAAGTTAGTTATTGATTATATATATAATTATATATTTGTATACATATCTTGGTACCTATGTTTTAAAATTTTGAAAATCATCTTATCTTATGCAATTTGTAAAGGATGGATGTGTACTTTCTTCATATATCAAGATATATCTTGGCATTTAAGTAAACTAATTGTTTAGTTTGCTCTTATATTTAAGACTAGATATAATATATTAAGACATCTTACATACCACTTCGGTCCTAGACATAAGTCACTTACAGGAAAAGTTTTTGTTCTAAATATAAGTTACATATGGTGTATTTAATGCTTGTTTTCTAATTTCATCCTTGTTTAATTCTCATTGAATAGATATAAAGAAATGAGAGATATGAGAACGGGTTTATAAATGAAGAGAAAAAGATAAAAGATTAATAAGGATAAATTTAGAAAATTTTGTTAATTTAATACATTTCAAAATATGCGAAAATATATCACAAGTAACTTCTATTAAATACGATAATGGTATAATGATATCACCTTCTATAGTGAAATTTGTAGACAGAAGAACACAGTTATTTTTGGGTGACCAAAGGAAAAGGAACACAGTGTTTGTCCCGGATATTTGGTGAAAAAAAAAAGTGAAAAAAAATAAGTTAGAAAAATCATCTTATGAATGTTTCTTTTGTTTTTTTTTTTTGGTTAATCTTATGAATGTTTTTTGATTTGTTTTTGTGCCTAACCTAGCGTTGGGTCTGATTTGGCATTGGACCAATGTTTCTTTGGTCAGCCCAGTTGACCCGACATGTTTGACCAAATGTCTGACCCGATTTGATAAATCACCCGCATTGCCAGGTAGATTCCCTTTCACTTCCTTAATTGCCCCTCCATTGTGTTAAATATAACTATTTATGTTTATTTTATTATTGTCAATATATCACATGGCTCAAACTATACTGAAGAAAGAAGAAAACATCTGTTCACAGTTTATGTTATTTTACCACGTGGCACGTTAAAAAGATTCAGAAAAAATAAATGGTTTGATTTGATGCAGTTAAGGGATTATTGAGATGATGACAATTGAGGGAAATCGGGAGGAGGGGAGGGCAGAAGAGGAAATATGATGACTTAGATTTTTTTAAAAAATAGAGAAATGGAATTGAAAATTTTTAATTAACTTTTGTGCTCTTTTATCTTAGATATTTTTTATTAAAATTTTATGATCCCATTTTTTCCAATTTTATAATATGTTGATTTCGGTTAACCTAAGGTGATTTTAGTTGAAATCGATTTTATGAAAATTTACTGATGTTCTGCATTGACCCCTTCTCAAACTCAAATGACTGAATTTACTGGTGATTTTAGTCCTTTGATGCATATATTATTACACTGCAGTTCATGGTCAAATAAAGCATCTTCCTTGATTACTCATCCAACATACACAACACAGCTCCTAAATATGTATATCGTAATTACATACCTCACATACTGAGAAAATTTGGTTGAAGTTAGTCTTTCTAATTAAATGTGTTCTAAATTAATTTTCCCCAAATTTTGCCCTAGATGTCTTTTTTTAAAAAATGAATATATGTCATTTCAGTATTAATAAAGTAATGCCCCTCCTCTCACTTATTGGTTTTCCTCAATGATGAGTTGTTTTCTTATACAACAATAACAAGTCTTATCCCACTAGATAGGATCGGCTACATGAATCACATGACATCATTGTACTCTGTCAACAACCTAGTCCTTAGATATGTTGTTGACCAGGAGGGTTGTGTTAGGCCCTCCACAACCAACATACAAACCCGTCGAATTTCATGAACATTGTTTTCTTACATAGAAAAAAAAAATAGTTTAAGTCTTGAAAACTTATTAAGGTCAGAACATACTTCCAAACTTAGAGAAAACTTACAGAGATATTTATAAATTGTCCATCAACAAAACCCTCATATTGGTAACGAGATTTAAACTTACAATCTTACGAATTATGATCTAATTCTTTATTAACTAGATGAATTTTTTTTGGCTTTTTGCTTTTCCTCAGCTATACAAGGGTGACATTTTTTTCCAAAAGGAAAAAAAAAAAAAAATTATATTTGAGATCCGAGAAAGTAGTGTTGATTCTATGGACTACCTATCCTTTCACAGCATGTCCTACACAATTATCATTACTATTGCAAGTCTAAAATTTTAAAAATTGCAACTGCTACTAAAAGGGTTTACTCTTTCTTACCTCTTGAGTACAAATGACACAAACAATTTTCAATTGTATATTTTAATTACTTTGTTGAAAAGTGAAATGACCATTAATATTTTTAGTTTTGTCTATCATAATACTTCTCTTAAAAGTATATTATAATCTGCTATAGAAGATCAAATTCATCATTTTGGTTGGAAACAATATAAAGTATCCAGATCAAAGATCAAGAACATAAATTGAGCTGCACAAATAATACCTCTATCTTGCACTCGTTTAATTTTCTCACAACTTCTGAAACTTTTACAAGGTTGGATCTGAACACCAATTACAAAGTTTAAAACAGTGTTTAGATAACTAACAAAAATCATACACTGCTCACTCTATAATCATCTCGGAAAGTATCCTATCTAAACTGAGGAAATGAGCATCAGCATATATCAATTTCAATTCTTCCAGAAAGCTACAGAGGCAGAAATCTGCAATGAAATTCACAAACCCTATAACTTTTTACAGACTACGCACATGTGATCTTTTCCCAATCACCCATAGACTAAAGTCCTTGTCTCCTTGCATTTTGTGATCCATCAAATATAGGAGTTGAATCCCAGTTATTGCCTCGAGCAACATGACCATCTTGTTGAGGTGGAATACTTACAATATGCATCTCACCAGGTTGTGGGCTGATAATGTCATTGTTCATAGACGAGACTTGAGCACCATTTTGTGATTCAGCCAACATCTGAAAATATGCGTAAGGGCCCCAACCTAGACGCAGAAATATATGAAAATGATGAATATTAGAAAGTCCTGAACGAATATCTCAAAAGCCGGACCCTCGGAGAAGACATGATGGAAAACAAGATTATATATACTTCAGGTTAAACAACTAGCAAGGCGTTGATACAGAATCCAAACTTGCATAATCCTAAGCAACAATATGTATGAACATTAATTATTTGATGGAATGTTTAAAACACGTGCTGCTATGAACACCACAAAATTTTTTCAATCTTTTGAGTTGATCATGCCAAAAAAGGACCGGCATAATTAAGCTCAAAGAAACACGTCCAGATGCAAAACAAATGCTAATCACATCAGTCCTTCAAAGTTTCAGCACTCCAAGGAACTTTAAATATAAAAAGCAAACATAAACACACGGCTACCAGGAATCCCCTTTCGGGGCAACAAAGCGCGCTTTCAAACTTGAACTGATACTCCTACTGATATAGTTTTATGAAAAATTATAAACATAATTAAAGAGGTTATATATGCCAGGAGAAGAGGTAAAGTGTAAACTATTCAACAGAAATCCAGAATCACAATCATAGCTTATAGCCAAAATCATATAGCAGCTCCTCCACATCTTAAAGAAGATGCTAGAAGCGACTTCCATGATTATTGAATTAAAATTGAGAAAACATTCAGCAATATTAGCATGTTGATATCACATTTACTTGCTTTTATTTAGGCCTTCAGCTTTGTCAAGGTTATTTCAACTCACAAGAAATGAAAGATTACAATTGGTTTTTACAAATGTAGTCAAAGGATCGTTCCATCGTGCATTTTATTAAAGTTTTAACTTGAACAGAAAGTATGGGAACAACAACGATTGAACTCTTGTCCACTCAAACTTGAAGGCTTCAATACCATTTCAGGATAATTTCAAGCCAAGCCTTAAGCGACTAAGACAAGTTTCATGATCAGTTTTATTACCATGTCTAAAGCCTAAGCTCAAAGCATGGTTAACATGTTTATTTGAAGCACACCTTTAACATACTGAAGCAAAGTAGTATCATAGAACACATAGTTGAAAGAGGAAAAACAGACTGTCCCAACAATTCAATGTGTGTTAAGAGGACAAGGACCAATTCATGGACATACCATCTGCATGATATGGAGGAGGAAAGAATTGCAAGTAACAAAAGAAGCAATTCCGGTTCCTGCATAAAAGAAGTTCACATAAGGAACCGTGAAGAAAGGCATATGTTAATATTTAGTCAAATACAAACAGGGATTTTCAGGCCATAAACAACACACCAATAAGACCTCCAGTAAACACATCTTGCCAATGATGCCAATAGTCATCAACACGTGAGACGGCAACCATAGCTGCCATGAGGATTGGTAAGAAAACAATACAGAGCTTTGCAACATGGCCCCTACGATCAAACACCTTAATCTTTCCAGATAGATACCAGGCAAGAAAAGTAAGACCAGCAAAAGACCCTGCATAAAAAACAATTAAATAGTGGTTAGCTTATTGTGAGGTACCTCATGAAGTTTGCAACTTATTTTTACTTTTTCAGCTAGCTGACTCAATGGCAACTTGAGTTCTGACAATGGTAATCTTTTCCATTACTACCCAAAGTAACTTCACACTCGACCTGCTAATCCATGTTTGGTCCAGAACTTGGATGACTTAATGAAATTGAAGCATTTCATGAAACTTAAGTATATGATTGCAGCGTGTGTAAACAGCAGTACAGAAAAATTGGGAAAACTAGGAGGGGATAGGATCACTCGAAGAAAATGAAGACATCAGGTTCTAAACAATGCAACCAAAAAAAACAAAGCATGTGACAACACCCCTGAACTTGGGTAGATTGCATGTCGGCCCATTAGATTACTTACAAGAGGTATGTCCACTAGGGAAACTTTTGTGCCCCTCCTTGATAACACTCTTATCTCCAGTGCACATAACATCACTTGTTACTGGATCAAACACCTGAACATGTCATGCGCCAATGCCATGTTAACTGTGCAGATAACTTAACTGAAGCAATGTGCATCACATAGAAATAATATTATTGTTTCTAAGACAAAATGGTTAGTTCATAAACTAAAGAACCCACCCCTTTGCCATCAGGAAAACATCGCCAAAAGAAGTCAGGCCGTGGCCGTCCAACACCATCTTTGATAGCATCAGTTATCACCGCAGTAATTAGAACAGAAAATAGAAGCCCTGAAAAATACATTTTGCAATAAATAATGTTAAAAAATAAGAATTATGGCAGAGTGATGCGCATAAGAGATGGACAGAAAGGCTTTTAAAGAATAAAAAATGTACCCAAAATAGCATGATGAAAGTCATAAATGTCCTTTCGCTTGATATAGTAGACAAGAATGACCGCCAGTGGCAGCAATATTGCTATTATCTATCCAGGAAATTAAAATTCAAGAGTTTATATTTAAACAGATCACACCACAAGGGCCAAGAAAAGATGCAAATTCATTTTTGAATGAAAAAATTCCTCGAAGAAAAACGAACCGGGACAGCCCAAAACGGGACAGTATTAGCTTTCAGTGGGTATCTCAGGTCAGTCATCATCCCCGCTCCAACAAAGCGGTGAAACGGCTCTATCACATTCAAGATGACATCAATGAAGACAAGAAGCAAAAGAATTAACCAATCATGCAAATGTGTTCTTGCCACTTTAGCTCCATGTGATTTAATGGTGTGCCTAGGCAACTGAACTTCTGGCATTTTTCTCTGTCAATGACAAAATAGGAAGATTAGCAAAACTTCTTCAAAATTTAAATCACCACAAATTAAAGGAATACAATGACATCGAAGATTGAAAGTATTAAGAAAATAAAAGGAATGTCGAGTTAAAACATCAAGACAGAACATAGCAGAAAAATGAGACTAACAAGGAGGGGACTCCCAGTGTGCCGAGAATAATTTGGATCATAATCCAATATAGATGGTAGACTTTAAGAACAAACTTCAACAGAAGATAAGAGAAAACCAAATCCTCGATCGGCAACCGGAAGATGTAACTTTTCAAAGCGGAAGCCAAAAAAAGAAAAAGCAATAAAGTCTCGAACAAAAGCAAACATATGCGTAGTAAACATATCTCAAACTAACACATATCTCAAACTGTGGAATCGCGAGACATCCTAATTGAAGTGGAACGGACGGTTCAGTCATCTTCTCTCTGTTTCTATTTTAAATGAATTTCATGCGCAATGGACTCTGCATGCAGCTTTAAAAAGGAAAAAAAAAAAAGGAACGAGAAGAGGGATGCCAAGAAACAAATTTTAAAAAGAAAAAAAGCTCATATTTTGTTTAATAAACACACACAGAGGGAACACAATGCGCACGAGAGATCAGAGAGGTTCATCACCAGAGGCACAAACCTGCACGGAATCGGAGGTAGCCAGGAATGCGAGAATTGAATTTTGAGGGAATGATTGGAAATGCTTTACGAAGAAGAAGATTCAAACGTAGAGGGAAAAAGCAAGCGAGGAGTTTGAGAAGGAGGCGAAGAGGACGATGGATTTAAAAAAGAAAAAACGACGCGGAGAGGAAAAGAGACGCGTGGGTCATATGTGGACCTATGAGTCGCGTGAGCCTCACCAAATGGAAATCAGGTTTTGATTAGAGCAAGATAAAGGTGTGATCGCTCTTGTGTTTTTCCTAATTAGTGAGCACTGGAAGGAAAAAGTAGTCAGGGAAGAAGAAGACAGGATCCTTGGCTTCTGCTAAAATCTGAACAACTTTTCTTCCCGTTTGTGATAATATTGAGGGCCAGCCGGCCGGGAAACAGACAATAGTGTCAAAAAACCAGATGGTTCAACTAACGTATTATATAACCATTGACTGGATTTTAAGTGGGAAGATAAGAGACAAATTATTTGGATTTTTTTGGGTTTCTAAACGTTCTTAAGTTCAGATCCAATTTAATCAATTTCACCCTTATTTATTTCATAAAAGAAAGAATAGAAAAATATAAGAATGATTTGTGAGTGTGAGGGGAAATTTTTTTAATAAGAATAAAATTAAAATTTTTTTATCAATTTAATACATTTCTTATGCAAAAATATATTACAAGTGACGCATATATTAAAGACCGAAATGATAATGTTATTATGTTTGCTATTAAACTTATTATGAGTTTATTTCATATATATTATTATGTACAGTTATTTTTATAAATTTTATTTAATTATTATATTATTAGTTCAACATCCGGCCTAACCAATTAAACTGTAAATTGCTAGATTTTCTATTTTAAGTTCTAATCATCCTCAATGTGAAACAATCAACATTTTTTTAAATGTTTGGCTAAAGTACATTAAAAAAGTGTTTTGCGTTTGATATAAAATTCTTCTTATATACTTTTTTTTTGTATATAGTAAAAAAAATTTTAAAAATTAAAATCATAATTTTTTTTCACCCAATAATTATCCACAATTTTCCATGAATGCACGTATTCGTTCAGTATTTTAATTTTAAGTTTCTCTATTTAACGCACTGGAAGTCAATAGTCTAATAAATGAAAGGTGTTTTAGAAGTGGTGTTTTAGAATAATTATCATAAATTATTGACATGTTAATTACAAAAGAAAAAACTACTTATTTTTTAATCACTGTAAATTAGGTCAAGAGATCCGAATATAAGAGACTAATTATCCCCTTCGACATTTTGACCATGCCCTTCGTTATATATAATTGGGTTTTATGAGTCTCGTTAAATATTTGTTAAAATTTTAAAATTAATTGAGGCATTTTAGGGGGGAAAACACGTTGTGTCATAGTTATGTGATACATGCTTTCAAATTTTTAATAAATTATTTTTACTACTTTTAAAATGAAAACATAATTATTTATTCCTTTATAATCACTTTTTATTTTTTACTTATTTCTTGTCATTTTAATACGCAGGGGTTAATGTCCAAAGAAATTTAAATTCATATGTTTATACATTTATATACTTAAAAGCGAATTAATCCAAGGCCTGACTTAATAGTAAATAAGAACATCCTCAATACTTTAAACTTTCTATTTTAACTAAGGAAACTTATGATTTTTTTTACAATTTTCCACAAATCGAATAGTTCTTATTTAGCATTAATTTTCCAATCAGGTTTTAAATTGGCATTTTCCCTTTATATTTTCATATTCGTTATTTCTATTTTGAAACTTTCAATAAAGTTTGTTCACCCAAATAAATAAAAATTTGTTAACAAGGTTTAGATAGTTGGTTGTTAATATATACACTCAATAAAATATTAAAATTACCCCACTCTAAATTTCTCAAATTATTAACATTTTTTTTTTGTAGGTGAGTGCCATCATCAATTTTTTTTTCCTGAAAAAGGGGAATTAAAAAAATAAAAAGCAACTAAGATACCTTGCTTGTTTGGAGGAAATCTCCAGAAATTCTGTGGATTAGATAAACAAAAACAAAATTCAATTCAAAGAAAGGCAACCGAATAATGGACCACACGCCGAGCTGGCAGCTACCCGTCCCGTTTTTATGAACCGCAGCTGCCCGTCCCAGTTGGTCCATGGATTATTAATATATTATATTTTTTAGAGTCAAAGAGTAATAGTATATTTTAATTTTGAATAGAGTTGTCAATAAGAATCAAAAGCTTAAAAAGACCGGCCTTTAAAACCCGCATGTTTTAAAATTATCATATTATTAAAGGCCGGCCCTCGGAAGTGTGGACTCAGGACTAAAAGGACTGGTCCTTTTATGTTATTTTTTAAAATTTAAATTCTCTTTAATCGTTTTGAAATTAAAACAATAAAACTTCTAAATTTTTTTATTCAAATTATAATATTAGTAAAATAAACTGATGATGTATAAAGAAAAACATCAAACATTAATGAAGTATTATCCAAACTAAGAAAAACCAAATAAAATAGGGAAAGCAAAATGATAAAAACCAAGCAACTAAAATTAAGAACATCAACATGATTATTATCTTCATCTTCATCACCATCATCAAAATCAAGAATATTTGATTGTTCTTCACTAGAGGTGTGCTTTTTTTCATGATAAAAATATCAAGGTTTTTGTTTTCATCACTTTGTCTAAAGTAAACTATATAGTAGTTACGAATACAAATGAGAGTCTAAATATTTTTTAAAATAAGAAAATTCTATACTTTGTAAAGACATGTGAATCGATAGTAAAAAAATTCACTAGTTACATTGTAGTGATTGAAATGCTAAGAATATCAACTATCACCTTTGAAAGAATTGAAAATTGATTTTAATTGTCCTTCCACCAGTTCAAGACATCTGATTGTTTTCAATTATAGAGATTAAGTATTAGTTCTTCTAAATAATTTTCTAATTCAGACTTATCCATAAAAAACAAATCCATAATTATATAAATATCTTGATAATTAAAAAATTAGGTGGGTTTAAAAGGACTGGCCTTTTTATTTCTGAGCCCTAAATTTTAAACCCAATTTTGTTTTCAGCATCATCAAATACAAGCCCGACCCTTTATTTAAAAAGGCTTAAACGGGTTGGTCCGATGGTTTCAGCCTGTTTTGACGGTTCTAATTTTGAATCACAAATTTTTTAAGTGGATATTTTAATTACAGCTTAATTAATTAGTTAGTTAACATTATCATTAGGAGTTCTTTTATACTGGAATGGAAAGAAGTTATATGGGAAAGGGCAGTGGCCCTTCTACAGAATGGTACATTACAAGTATTTATATGTAGATAAGACTATATTGGAGAAAAATTATTTTTAAGGATTAAATTTAAAAGTATTTTTTTAAGGACTCCAAGTAGTAAATGCTCGTGATTTTACTTATAAATTTGCACTTTTGAGTAATAAATAATAGTAAATATCCTTCATCTTATAAAATTGTATGCACTATTTCAATGGGAAATACTTGTAGTTTACTTGATAAATTTGCACTATGTGAGAGGTAATTTGATGTCTTTGGAAATAAAATAACTTCTGAATTTGTTCTTCCATTCTTGAGACTCATTTTCCCGAACCATATATATTTTATTAAACATGTTGGACATTAAAAAAAGAAAACTAAATACATAATAGAAGCATAATGAATATCATAATGAAGAACAAATGGGACTATGGGAGGAGTGTAATTCTTTTTCTTTATTATAGTCAATAGTTTGCTTTTATCTTAAGTATTTATTGTTTTTCACTTACTATTTTCCATGCAATTTCCTAAAGAATATTATTGGAAAAAAATTGTATATAACTACATATTGAAAAACTCTAACTAATTAACCTACTAAATTTAGACTCTATTTAAATTTATGATATACCTTGAATCTCTAATTGGCATGCATACAATTGGGAGAGTGTGATTAAAAACACGCTAATTACCAATAAGTGTTGATCGAGGTGATAAGTAGTTTTACTAGATGTAAGAATGAAAACATAAGTTTAAACTCCAAAAAACTCACTTGTTAGTAAAGGAGGTAGTCACTTCTTAAATCCAGACTACTTAGTTGTTCAGGTACTGACTGGTAGGTTTCCCTCATGCAAAAAAAAAGAAAAGATAATTTAATAGTGAAGTGGATGGTCAAATTACGCAAAACATTTAAGAATTAATAATGTGTTACAAATATTCATAACATAGAAGCTACACCTGGTGGAGAATTATCTAAAAACCTTTTGATTATATATGAACCCCAAGTCAATGATTCTTCATAATATTGTCGTTTTAAACATTTGGCTTAACGATGAAGGCAAACATGCTCTTACTTTTTATTCTCTTCCCATTGTTTTTTATTAATTTGTTGAATTTAACCTTTTTTTTATAATGTTTTTTAATAGATTAGGATCATATGCTCATGCCTCTAGATGTTTTGAAATACAATTCTAAGTATGCATGTATGTATGTATATTTCTACAGCGTATTTAGCATGTACAACTAATAATGCCAAGGAAAAGCTTGGATATGCTACGAAACTATAAATATAACGTCTTGTTTAACAGGGTCAAAATAGGTTAGAGGTCTGTTAGAGGCCTATATTTTGTGTTGGTTTGATCCTACAGATGAGCCTATTTAAGTAAAGAGGTTTGAACTGTTACCTAAAGTCTCAAACGATCATGTTTATTAATAAATATGTATATTTTTATTTTTAATCATAAATGTTTTAAGTGGATATTTTAATTACAGCTTAATTAATTAATTAACATTATTTACGAGTTCTTTTATGGTGGGGTGGAAGAAGTTATATGGGAAAGGGGCACTGGCCTTCCTACAAAATGATACTATCTCCGATCCTAATTATAAGAGTTAGTTGACTAATTTGAGAAGATTAAGAAAATAAGTTAAGTTAGTTATTTGTAATAAATAAGTGTTGTCTCTCCTAAAATATCATTGCTAATCAAGTGTATTGGCTATAACTATCATTGTTAGAATGATTATTTTGAAAAAAAAAATACATAAATATGAAAGACAGTGGATTGGGATCTTATATTTAACACTATAATAAAAGTCAAATAAAGTCTTATATTAAGGACTGAAGGTAGTATACATTGCAAGTATCTACATAGGTAAAACTATATTGGAGAAAAGGCATGTTTAAGGATTAAATTTAAAAGTATGCTTTAAGGACTCCAAGTAGTAAATACTCGTAATTTTACTTATAAATTTGTACTGTTTGAGCAATAAATAATAGTAAATATCCTTCAACTTATAAAATTGCACTATTTTAATGG